TCTAAGAGTTTTATAGTTTTAGCTCCTCCATTAGGTCTTGATCCATTTTGACTAATTTTTGTATGTGGTATGAGATGGGGTTCTGACTTCATTCTTTTGCATGTATCTGATTGTCATGGCACGATTTCTAAAAAATACTATTCTTTCCACATTGTGTTGTCTTGGCATGTAATTTTAACATACAGTTTTTCAGGATCATTATTTTAAAAATGGTTTATAGTTAGCAACTTTCATTTCCTAATGAGTTAATATTTAAAGGTTTGCTTTTTATTATCAAGTGGTTAAATGTTTAAAGGTTTTAAAACCATTAATGTTTTATTTTTTATCACATTGTGGTGACAGACTGTCACATACAAATAAAATATTTTTAAAATCTTATAAACCATGTAAGATGTGTGTTTGGTAAATGTTTCCAAAAATTTGGGAAAACTGTATTGAATCTTTGTAAGGTAAAATGTTTAATATTTATTAATTAAACTTATTAATTATATTATTAAAATCCCTAAAGACTTTTTATGTTCTTGATTTATGGATATTAAGAATAACATGCTGAAAATTCTCTTATGTCTTATTTTTCCAAATGCTTTTATTTTATCTTTAATGCATTAAATTTCATGGCAATTTTATCTTCACTGTGTTTTTTTTTCTCTTTTGTTCACATAAAATGAGCATCTTTGCATTGTCCCATGTGTTTTTTTACATTAGATTCTCCACTGTTATGTTTTCTTTTGGTTTGTGTTTATTTGGTATGTCTTCCCATATGCTTTAATTTTCAATTCCCTTGGCAATTTTACTAATTATATTAATCTTTTCCTTTAATAAGGAGGGTTAAAAGTCAGATGGAGGAGAAAAACAACAAAATAAAAAGCTACTAGTTTTCTAATTCAATTTTTAAAATATTTTATCAAATTTTATCTATTTAAATTGATTCTTATAGCTGAGATATACTGTTATACTTACAGTAAATAATAACAATAACGACCATTGTTTGAGCTTTTTGAGTCAGTCATTGCTAAGTACTTTTTGAGCATTATCCTATTAACCCTGAAAATTAACCTATGAGTTAGGTTTGCAATAATCCACATTACAGATGAAGAAATACACTTTAAAGGGTTGGTATTTTATCTTTGTTTTTCTGTTTGCCTGCTTTTTTCTTCTTGTTTCCTCTTTTTTGGTAAGTTTTAAAAATGTTTTTAAACCTCTATAACTAGAATGGTTTATACATATGTTGTTAATTATCTGAGAAGCTTCTTTCAATCTTATTTCATGCTTTTTTCAAAAGCATGCACTTGAACTGATATGTATTTAATTACTATTTCCAGGGAAGGACAGTTTCTATTTACAACTTTACATAAAATTAGAAAATTAGTAGTTTTTTATTTTCTTGTTCTTCTCCTCCATCTGACTTAGCTTTGCAACAATCTGAGATTTTGAACATGTGTGTGTGTTGTGTGTGAGAGAGAGGAAGAGGGACTGCTTCCATTTATAAGAACATTTAAAAAAGATATGCACTATTTTTCAACAATATTTTCAATAATTACTACAATTAAAAAATACATCTAAATATTCTGTAGCTGCCATAATTTCCTCATTCTCAAGATTTTTATTTTGCTCTGACGCAACACACACTCAATTTTTTTTCTAAGGAAGAGCACAGAAATGAACTACTTTCTAAAGCCTTGACTATTTACTCTGCCTTTACAGATGAAGAAGAACTCATTTAGATTCCTGGGTTATGACTTTTCCTCCTTAAATCTCTGTAAATGTTACTCTTGTTTTTATCTGATGTTCATTACTATGGAAAAGTCTGAGACAAAGATCATTTTTCTTAATTTTGGGTAAATTGACTTTTCTGCTTAAATACTTGGAGGGTAGGCTTTTTTCCCTGAGATTTATAAATTTCACAGAGTTACGTCCAGATATTGATTCTGTTTTTATTCAGAAATAGGTAAAGCATTTTGATTTGCAGATTTAAATTCATCAGCTGAAAAGCACGTTCTTTGCACTTTGATGCTTGCTTTTGCTCTGCTTGCTACATTAAAACATGCACATACAGAGTTGAATTTATCAATCTTATTATATCTGTATTTTGATTTTATTCACTCCCTCAAAGATTATGTTTTATTCAAGTATTTATGTGGTTTCAGTGCTAGATTTAGATCCCTGATCATTTTCGGTTTCTTCTTATGTGAAATACAGATCCAATTCTACCCTCTCGTAAATGAAACTAGCGGTTCCAACACCTTTACAAGAAAGTTTTTAATTTCCTCCAATGATTTGATATGCACCTTTGTCATATACAAAACTTCCATGTAATTGGATCTGTTTCTGAAATTTCTATGTTCCGTTGGTCTGTCTGTTCATGGACCACTTCCACATTGCTTTACATGCAGAAGCTTGATGGTGTATTATGATACTTCATAGGTTAAGACCCTCTCCACTTCCTTTTAAGAATTTCCTTAGCTATTATTCCCTATTTTTTAGAATTCATGTGAATTTTAGAATAAAATGTCTAGCCCCAAGGGAAAAATGCAAACTTGTATTTGATTATATTCAGTCCATTCATTGATTCAGGAAGAATGGACGGGTTTATAATGTTGAGTGGGTCCATCCCTGAACAAGGAGTATCTTTCTTATTGTTCAAGTCTACTTTGTGTCTTTCAGGAGTGTTTTATAGTCTTCATCTCCCCCCATTTCTTGTAACATTAATTTCCAAGTGTTTTTCTTTTCCCTGTAAGTGGGGTCTGCTTTTTCACTGTCATCTTCTTATTTGTAGGGGTGGTCAGTGTGTCCTCTGATGTGCAATCTTTTCTTCCTGGAACTCTGACTTTGGCCACCTTTGTCCCTTCACCCTCAGACCTCCACATTGCCTCTCTTTCTTGGATGACTTATACTTCTGATCCTACGGAATTTCAAGCCCCAGAGGAGACAGTGGTCCAATACCCGAGGTCTCAGACCTGTTCTCAATATCTCCCCACTCTGGCAAGACCCCTCTTTGCCTGAGGGTGTGAGCCCACCACTGTGATGGGGATCAGGACGTACTGCCCACAAACATGGCGCAGTGGCAGACTGAATATATTAAGCTGGCATCTGAGAAAATGGCAGAAGTGGGAAGGTCACACTGACCTTCCCATGCCCCGCCCTGAGTCCCTGAAACAGGTCATGAAACCCTCATGTGACAGGTGCCCTCTTCCGGAAGATACCCAGAGAAGGGGACCATCTGTATCTCCAAAGACCAAGGGAGAGCAGTGAGAATGCTAACAAAGAGACCTCGCTGTGACACGGCTTATTATACTAACGTTACCTCCTCCGCCCGCTGTATTCCTCTGTGACCGTCTGCTCCTCATCAGACCCAGCATGAACACTCACAGCATTTCTCCCGGTCTTCACTTCCTTATGAGGGATCTTCTGTCACTTCGAATGCATATTAAGTAGAATTTGTATACTTTTCTCCCATTAATCTGTCTTTGTCAGTTTAACTTTCAGACCCAGCCAGGGACCCTAGGAGAATCAGGAGACCATGCCGGCTCCCCCAGGCCCCCACCAATCTATGCCACATCTCCACCAGGGTCTTATCTCTTCCGTTCAGTAAGACCATCTCTCCCACTCAGTCCTTGCCTGACTCTCTCCTTCAACCTGGAATCTGAAACTGGCTTTGCTGGTTTGGAATGTGCCCCCCACCCAACCACCAGTTACACTTACAGTTCATAGTATACTTTGTCTCCTAGTTTTGTTGTAGGGGAGGGTTATGAGTGACCTTTTTACAATACTGATTGATGTGTATGCTTTGTGAAGGATATGCGGAGAGGTTCAGATTTAAGTTGCTGTTATTTGGAGTGGCAGTTGGAGGGTGTCACCCTCTGCTGTTTAATTTGGCAAAATGTACCATAAATGTTCACTCTTGTTAACTACTCTATTCAAATCAGATGAGGAGAGACCAATAACCATCAAATAATTTGCTTAACAACTAGGTTAGAGTTAGAAATTAATTTTCTGCAACGTGTTGTTTTTCTGATTAAAGTTCTAACTACATATCCAGCCCTAATAGTGGTTCCTGCCCTTTGTCCACCTGGTCCAAGAATCTTGTAAACTAGTTGACATTAAGCTTTGTGTTACCACTGAAGGTCGAATAAGAGAATGAGTGCATAACCTATTTGAGACTCTGCATATATTTGTAAGTCAAGTAACCCATTTGGACTACTGTCGTGGAAATCAGTATGGCACCTCAAATGACAATCAGTCTGACACTGCCGCTGTGTAGCTTACCAAGAAACCAAGTAGTAGCTGTATGTGTATGTGATAAGATAAAATATGCATAGGACTCCTTTCCTTACATTTTTGAAACTAAGACATTTTTCTTCAAAGTAAAGAATCAACAGCTTTCTTTTTTTGCCTGCCTAGGAAGGCAGTAAGTTGGTTCTGAAAAGTCTATGAGAAATCTCATTTTTAAAACAGCTCAATGGAAATTCAGCTAGGTTTTGGTACAGTGTTGCTTATAAAGTTTCTAGATGCCAGTTTATTACAACAAATAAATCAGAAAAGAAAGCCTACTTTTGCTTTGTGCAACCAAAAGTGAGCTTAAGGGCATGAAATAGGGCTATGTCAACTAAATGACTATGAAGAGAGAAAGTTTACAGGTAGGAAGCACCAATTTTTTCTCAGAAAGTAATTATTCTCTTTAATCATCTAATCACTATTATCTTCAAACATGACCTTTCTAGGCATTCTTTTTGAAAAAAAAGTTTGAATTTGAATCATCACTAAGTCATTATTATTCATACTGTATTCAATCTTTTAAACAAAGTGGCTCATGTTTTAGTTTTAGAAATCGATCAGCCTAAGGATTCTGGGATTCTCCAAGAGTAAGGGCCCTCTTGCCAATTCTCAGTTCCTTTAATTAGCAATGTTGCATTGTATATTGGCCTTTTTCTTGTCCTTTGTGTGTATGGATGTCTAATAACTTGGTACTCAATTGATATTTGTGTTTCCTATCTACACAGAGCTCAAGTGCTGCAGTCAAAACATATAAAAAAAAAAAACGCTGGATTCCTGGATTACAGACATTCCCCTCAGCTCCCTGGTGATCCTCGGAGCAGAAGCTCCCTTCCTGTCCTGGCTGCCGGCCCTGCTCACAGCTGTTCCCGGGTGGAAGAAATTAAGAACCTCTGCCTTGCTTTCCAGGAGCTTTTTCCCTTGGATTCATGTTCTGCAATCCTTCCTCTCCCCACGTCCCTCCCTCTGCTACCCGCCTGCTCCCCCCATCAGACTTTGAGATTAGAACAACTAGCCTGCCTGAAATCCTATTTGGTACAATAATGTCTCCATGTCTTTAATTTTTTTCCAAGTTTTTCTAATCTAAGGTCCAGTGTCTTTCTGACAAAGAGAACATTCAGAGAACTAATTTCTATTTCACATGTTCACAATATAATGTGATGCTCTGCCCCCAATGCTTACTGCATTATGCTTTCACTAAATATACTCACAGCTGCCAATTTTCATGTGCCTCTTAACACTTGGAATTGGAATGCTGCCTTTAATAGAACTCACCACTTTCCCCAAGTTAATATCCACTTACCACTCTAGATGAGAAGGGGGTCTTTAATTTCCACAAACTGGGGGCAGATTCCTGCCCTGTAAACCCCTCTGGGACATAAGTTCATTCACTCCTTAGGGAGAAATAAAGACATATCTATGTGCTCTGTTCCAAACTTCTTTTGTCCAGCTTTATTTATAGGTCAGTTTACAGAACTTAAATCACTGAGGTTAAGCATTTTGATTCATCTATTTTGAGATTCACAAAAATTAAAGAACAGATTTTCAAATTTCATCCAAAATTTCATCTCAGAAAAACTATGCCCAATAAGTACAAAATTCATCTGTGTGCTAATTGCTAACTGTCAAGTATATTTATTTTGTGCAATAATGAGGATCAATTCATCGATTTACAAGGAAATTTCACCGTGTTCAGCAAGAGAAAGAACTTCCTAATAGCTAAAACTCTGGAACATAAAGCAAAGTTAAGTTGGTAGAGGATTAATGAGCCTCCAGCCCTGTGGGGCTCAGCAGAGGTCATCTGGTCCCTGGTGTTTCAGAGGATTCAAGCACAGCCTGAGGAATATTAAACTAGATCAACTATCAGGCTGCTTCCTTCTTTGACAGCTAAGATTCCAAGATAACCAAGCATGTGACAAAAGTTACATAACATTCCAGCCAAACAAAACAAAAATACCATTTTCAAAGGTATCCTCAGATGACTCATGAGGAGTCTAATGTCTTAAATGTTTTCTTATTACGTACTTGGGTTTATTATTCTTTCTCTACCTCATCCCTTTTTGTCTTATCACAGCCATCCTCATCATTTGAGCCAATGAACAGTAAGAGCATCGACATCTCCCTTCTTTCCCTGACGCTGTCTCAGGTGGGATGTAGGGGTGATGGAGTTGACAGCAGATTTATGAGGATGGTCACTTTTTTAACATGTTCACAAATTCCTCCATGCCTCTTAGGCAGGAAATAAATGACTGTTTCATGCCCTCTTTTTCTATCCTCATTAATATTATATTTTTAAGACATTTACCCTTTATAAAAGTCTACAGGATTTAAATAACAACACAAAGGACCAGTTTCTATTATCCTTCTAGTTCCAACATGGTATGATTTTGTGATTTTATGGATTTTCATGATTTTATGAACAATAGACCCATAACTGGCCAGGAGGCAGGAAATGTTTGGAAGTTGCCTTAATCTCTGAGAGTCTTGCTCCCCTACAAAATGCCCCTGATTGTCACAGTCACACAAGGTACTGGGCTGGATGGATTGTTGTCCTTTTCCAATAGTATGTCCAAGTTTTTATGCCCCAAAGCTATTTCAGAACTTTTCTGCAGTTTCCCCCCTCTGTAGAGGACAGGCAAATAGAGAAGTTAATACATTCTCAGGTAAAGTGAAAGGTCTACGACTTCTGGTTTCTACTCTGCCATGTAAAGAACTTGGAAATCATTTTATCCTTACAATTTGAAATGGCTAAACTTTGTCTTAGAAAATTAATGACATTTCTTGGACTTATGAGAGAGAATTGGGGTTGTAGGGCAAACTACCACCCCAAACTCTAGAGAGACAGAGTGTAGATCTGTTTACTTGAAAGAGAAGCTACTGGAGCCATAAACTGGTAGGAACACTCAAGAGGTAATTTTGATGAATTTCTCAGGGCTGAGTGTGGACTAGCATGAGACTGAGGAAGTCCCGAGGGCTACAGTCATAGGAGGGACACACATTTTCATAGGCTTTACCTTCAGGAAACTCACAGATTCTCAAGAAGATGTGAGAGATCCACTCATGGGCCTGGTAGAAGGAGGGGAAGAATAGTCTCTGTAAATGTGACTCTAACAAGCCTCTGCTCCATGGGAAAAGACTCTACTAGAGCCGTATCCAAGCTAGGAAAAGGGTAGTCCTCCCACTACAGTGCCCTCTAAACTTCTTGTCTACCTGAATAGGGGATAAAAACATATTCAACAAGGATCATGGCTTCAAGGGAAAATATCTGGAAAGCTGTATGCAGTAAAGAGAGATGGGTTAGTCAGGGGAAATATCAATAGAAGAAGCACTTGTGAAGTCCACAGCTCTATGACGCAGAGCCAACTAAAAGACAGAAATTTATTCATGAGATTATGGAACGTTTCTCCTGCTCTACATCTTACCACCATATCAATAGGACTCCAGTATGACAATAGCAGAGTACAGTCAAAGAGCCAACACAGACTCTCTTTGAGGAGGAGTACTTAGGGAAGCCCACAGTCAAGAGCAGAGATAAACACAAGGATACTGGAAGAATTGAAACTTCTGGCATCAACAGCTACAGCAAATACTAAACACACTCAAACCCCCAGCCAGATGACCATACATTTTCATACTAAAAGTCTATTTACCTTACTTCCTATTACCTAATATAATACATCTGGATTTCAACTAAAATTACAAGGCATAACAAAGGACAAGAAAGACACAGTCTGAAGAGAAAAACCAAGCATTAGAACCAGAATCAGATATGATTCATATGCTTGAAATATTAGACAGGGATTTTAAATAACCATGTTTAATATATTAAGAGATATAAAGGAAAAAGTAGACAATATGCAAGAACAGATGAGTAATGCAAGCAGAGAAATGGAAACTCTAAGAAAAAATCAAAAGGAAATTCTAGAAATAAAAAACAATAACAAAAGTTAAGAATGCCTTTGATGGGCTTGTTAGTAGACCTGGCACAGCTGAGGAGTCACTGAATTTGAAGACAGCTCAATAAAAATTTTCCAGCCTGAAATGCAAAGACACAAAGGAGTGGTAAAAACAAAACTGAACATTCAGGAAACTTGGGATAATTTCAAAAAGTATAATATATTCATAATTAGGGTACTGGAAGGCAAAAAGAGAATGGAGCAAAAGAAATAACTGAAGAAAAAATGGCCAAGAACTTCAAAAAGCTATGAAAAATACCAAACCACAGATCCTAGAAGCTCAGAGAACACAATGCAGAAGAGGAATAAACATATCTAGGTGTATATCTCATTAAAACTGCAGTAAACCAAGGACAAAGAAAAATCTTGAAAACAACAGCCTTGGGCTTTAACAGAAATGGGTGCAGTCTTACAGCCAAGAAATAGTGGACTTTAAGTATTTTACACGTTGGTGGTTATCTCCCTTATACAGATGAAAGGCTACATGTAAAAACATTTCATAGGCATTACTTTCTTCTTCATGTAAGAAAAGATCAAATAAAGTCATATGTATATGAGGAAGCACTTTTCAACTGCAGCATTCTCTAAATATGAAGAGTTCCAATTATTAATGGATTGCATCTTTATATCATTCCTCCAGAGACCTTGAAATAAGCTTTCTCAGCAAAGAGAACCTTGAGGTATATTTTTAATCACAAGGCATTACCCTAATGGATGTAAAATTAGATATGTTTTTTGTCTTAGATGGGCATAGAACTGATGTTTCCAAAGAAAAGGTGAGAGAAGGGTGAGATGAAGTTTATGAGATAAATGGTTAGGGTAAGAGTAAACCAATGGAGATATATCTGTATAGACATTAGAATTCCAAATGACGTATCTTAATACAGGAATAATGAATTTTAATTATTTTAACTAACTAGAGCAAAAATATACCAGCAGTAAAATGATAAGAAAAACAGGTTCTAGGATGTAAAAGAGAAGTTAAAGTAAATACATTTTCATTGCACATTAGAGTTTACAGAACACTTTCACATGCATTATATCATTTGGGTTTCATAACCAAAAGCATTTAGACACCAACAAATTAAGAGATTTTCCAACTTTGCTTGACATCAATTATAATTGAATAATTATTCTCCCTGCCTCTGTCTTTTAAACTCTGAACCAAACAGTTCATGAAAATATTTTTTCCATAAGGGCAGGAGGTGGTGGTGAAAATTTCCATGTAGACATTTTTTTTAAATTTCAAGATAATTCCCAAATGAATTATTCATATAACATTTAGTTTAAAAAATGCTTTTGTGCAATGATCTCACCATATCTTTTTTTCTTTTTAATCAAAGTTCATGTCATATGGGTAATGTGCCAACATCGTAACAAGCTTTGAGGAAGGCACATGTCACACAATAAGTGTGAACACCCAATCACGATGCTCACAAGCTACAGAAGAATCTGGTCTCATTTTATCTTTGTTCTCCTGCCTTCTAAGTCAGGCAGTGGCCATTGTACTCATTCTCTTTTAGATTAGGAGTCCAGGCACAACTCCAGGAAGTATCATGCCCACCATCCCACAGCTACTGAATGCCAGGGCTGCAATTCAGACAATCTGAGAGTTCTGACTCCCAACCTGTCCTGTTGCAGGCTGCTGTAACGAAGTACCATACCCTGGATGGCTGATCAGCAGCAGACATTGATCTCTTACACTTCTGGAGGCTGGGAGTCTGAGGTCAGGCTGTCAGCATGGCCAGGTTCTGGTTGTACATACGGCTGCCTTCTCATTATGTCCTCACATTGCAGAAAGACAGCAAGGGAGCTCTCCAGGATCCCCTATGAGGGCACTGCTCCCATTCATGAGGGCCTCATCCTCATGACCTAACACCTCCCAAAGACCCCACTGCCTAATACCATCACACTGGGTTTGGATTTCAGCAAATGAATTTTAGAGGGATGCAAGCATCCAGTCCTTCTCACTACCAAAGTTAGTCTTATGTTGCTCTACTCATTGTTGTATTTTTCCTTTGTCATTAGAACACCCCTCATTTGACCCTCACAACAGAAAAGTGATAGTTTCACCTTCAATCTTTCTAACATCTTAATGTCATCTGCTAATCTGACATCAGTCAAATCCATGTTTTCAATAAGTTATTGAAATAACTTGAATTGAATAAGAAAGGAATCCTTTTCATTTTCCTTTCTGGCAGCTTCTAAAAGCTGCCTTTAAAAAATGTGATCAGTAATCTTTGAGGGATAATTTGCTTAAAGTTAAATTATCTCTGGCTATTTTAGACACCTTGAGCAGAGGGTTCTTTCTTATTCCTCATCTTGGAAATCTAAATGCAGGGAATTCACTTCCATCAACACCTCTTAATAAGGGACTGGTTATCTCTTATCAGTTCTAGGGCTCAAAACTTAGGTCCCACAGTCTGACTGCATTTACTTCAAATGAGAATCCAGGCTATACATGTGCCAACATTTC